CCACTTCACAATTGTATACCACTTTGTGTTGGTCTTTCACATTAAATTCCAGTGAAATATATTTATGTTTGTGGTTGTAATGTGACAAAATATGGCAAAGTTCAAGGGGTATGAATACTTTTGCAAACCACTGTATAATATGAACCAAAACAATAAAGTAAGGAACATCAAACCTGGCTGATCTCTGTGCATCTGCCCTAAACCTTTTATTTACCTTACTTTGTGTGTATATTTTAGTCCTATTGTGTGTTCTTGTTAGTTTATGTTTATGTCTAGCATGCATTGTTCTGACCCATCCTCCTCCTCTGTAATCAAACTGAACAAATGGACTCTTACCCCCTGTGGCCCATTTGAAGCAGATTCCAGTGTTCCTGTTATTATCCCTGTTAGCGATCTATCTAAACATCCTGTTAAGCTCGATCCGTGTTTTCATAAATCAGGAGTCTCCCCCTGCTGCGCACCGTATGATTCTGATCACAACCACCGTCAGACAGAAACACAGCAGGAAGAAACGAGTTGAAACGCCATGAACTCTTTTTGTGTTCAACTTCAATTACAATTTGAAAAACATTGTATTAAGGTATGAAATAGATTTCGAGATGACCTCTGCAGCTAAGCGATCTTAAAAAACCTGGGTGAATATCACAATATTGAGTGTTGTGGTAGTAACTGAGAGTTGTTCACAACACACTCCCAAGTGCCAACAGAAAATGAAATATTGCTGCAAAAAATGAGCAAAATATCAAAGTTTGACCAAAACATTACTTTTATAGATCCTAGTCWTGCCAAGCAAGTGCATTTTCATGGTTTTTGATGTTTTGTGTACTTTTTCCTTAAATGTTAAATGTTTTCTTTAAAATAGTGTGTATGTATTTTTTTCTTGATTTTATTGCAAACAGCAGGTTGGATAAGTAGTTCAGTCAACTATCCTAAAAACAACAACATAATAAACAACATTTAATTTCCTGCAGAACATTTAGCCTCTTGTGAACTCTGCCCACTCTGGAGTGAGTCCAGCAGTGAAACAACCTGTTATTTGTTTTTCTTTTGACTTGATTTGATTTATTTATTTAACAGGAAAAGATGACTAAAAATCAAGCCTGACTCAGCATAATTGCTGTTTTACAGCAGGTTCCTGTTCTGCAGCACATAAACACTCAGAAATACAGCATCACAATCACATCATTATACACCATAGACACAAAGACAAACAAACATACCAAATTTTAAAAAAAAGCAGCATTTTCAAAATAGGACGTCTAAATATGAGCACAACAAAAAGTGTCCAGCAGATGGCAGACAAGATTCTTCTTAAWGGGCTGTAGTTTTGAAATGGACTTTATGTTTTGAGGAATGTCATTCTATGCTTTAGTATAAACATAGAAGAAAGACCTCTGGCCGTAACAGTTTTTAAAAGTTGGTAATATCAGTTGTCCTTTTGTAACAGATCTAGTTGAATGACCACTTCCAGAATTTGATTTGGGCAACAATGCACAGAGAGTTCCATAATTGGCACCTTGGAAGATCTGAMAATATAAATTAATACCACTATACAAAACATAATTTTGAAAAGTCAAGGCATCAGACAATGAAAGAACTGTACAGTGATGAGTCCAACCAGGAAGTTTTTTATGAATTTTGTAGGCCCTGTTGTAGAGCCTAACTATGGGTTCTAAGATTTCATTTGTTGTAAGAGACCAAACAGGTAAACAGTACGACATGGTTGAGAGTATAATGGCAYGAAGATAGAAATTTGAAACAGAAGATGTCAGATTGGATCTAATTTTTGAATAAAYGTATAATTTCTGTTTCAACTTAGTGTTTAACTTTTAGACAGTAAAGTGCAGAAACGAGAGAAAAGTCTATTTTATGTGAGACAAAAGCTTTATGCCTATTGTTTTCCCCTTCAAATATGTTAGACAAAGTAAACTTTTTATCTGTTATGGTGAAATGCAGCTACACAAACTGGTTTTGTTGCCTTCTTGTGTTGTCTTTACAAATAACTGGTGCCTTTTTGTTGGTGGAGTCCAGATTTAAAGGAAGCTGATAAAGTCAGCAGCTTTTTCATTCCCACAACACGTCTTATCATGTCCCGGGAGGAAAAAACGCTCTTTACAAAGCCTAATCTTCATTTTGATGCATCTGTTTGAAGAACTGAGCCACTGAAACATGTTTTAGCTTCTTTTTTTTAATCAGGAAGGTAGAAAGAGTGATTACGTTTTTGCCCATGTTTGTTTTTCTGTTGTGTTGGCAAAATATCTCATGTCAAGTTTTAGTGAAACTCTCAGAAAGTATTTATAGCTTTTTGAATTAGCTTTTATTCAAGATGGCCACCCCAGTTAAACATTTGTTTTTTATTATAATGTTTATAACTTTTAAAGTGTTTATTTGTATTTACAAATATTTTCCCACTGAAAATGCAGTGATTTCAATTCCTTCAAAAATATTTATCTCATAGAAGTCTGCATCAGCATAAATGCCTATTTTTTGTTTCCCTATATTTTTTTTATTAACAACTACTCTTAGCTTTTAGCCAGCCTCTGCGCCTTTTGCTTTAAGGTAGCTTTTTCCAATCATTTCCTTATAGCTTTTAGCCTTCTGCTACATTTAGCGTTTTGCTATCATTTTTATTAAGCTTTTAGCTCAACTTTTGCCACTTTCAGCATCTAGCTAGCTTTTTGCTGCTTTAGCTTTTATTTAAGACCAAAAACATGTACAATAGGTTGTCTTCAGGCCTCCCTTGAAAAAAGAGATTTGCTGTATATAAATGCACAGAGAACTGAGTCAAACTGCTGTATAAATAGTATCACATTTGGAGCAGTCTCATTTCATTTATCGGTGCTAAGTTTAATTAGGATATCAAACAAATTTAGTATCTACTGTGTCGTTGGATATCAGGGCTGAGGTGAAAGCAACATGTTGTTATTATTGCCATTTTTAAGGTCATGTTGGTTTAGAAGTTTGATGTGAAACAGACGAGTATAATGTTTAAAGCACCTTTGTTGTTCCCAGATATTTGAACCAAAGCTTTACCAGGAAAATTTAATGTCAGTGGTTGTGTTTTAAATTATTAAGAGCATGAAAATCACTGAGCTTTGTTATACAGTAACTTTTGAAATGAGGCAAATGATGCATAGGAGCTTAAAGTGTTTAGTAATTAATGCAAACTCACAGATGAGTGACACAGATTAACCAGAACAATGTGTGACCCAACCTACAAGTACTTATCCCCCCGGGACAAATAAAGGTGAGTAATAAGATTTTTGCCTCTGTGTGTATGTGCATGTTAGCAAAATGTCTCATGAACTACTGAACAGATTTTAACTAAATTCTCATAAAGTAATATTGAGATGTACATATTGAATAACCTTTGAGGTCAATCCAGTTCAAGATGACGCCACAGCCAAGGAACTTTAGCAAACAAAAACATGAACGTAACTCAGCTGATTTTACAGACTTTCAACTGACTTTCGGTTTAGCAGTAGTTAAGACTCATCCTCAACACTCTGAGCAGCACCTGATTGTGCAAAATAGTTGCATTTAACCTTACTATTATCTATGGGAGTCACTTCTGTTTGTCTGTTAGCAAAATAGCTTATGAAACAATGGATGGATTTGAATGAAACTCTCAAAGAAATAATTAGATTTAAAGCCACAAGTGATTAACTTTTGGAGTCAATCCAGTTGAATTTGTGTGTCACCAGTGATCAGTCTTCATAATATGAGAATAGCTTTAATTCAGTCAGTTTTACAGATATTGAGCTAAAATTTCATGTGACAATATCTGAAAGTCATTCACAGGAGCTCTTGTGATAAAGAGAGACTACAACCCTGTCATTCAATGTGAGATGTTCTTAGCTCAAAACTGGCTTGATGGGCGATATGCATTTCTTTAATGAATGTTAGGTCTGGATTTTTAAAAATCTACCAATGCAAAGATGCGATTGGATCTTTTAAGGTTTTATACAATCAGTTTTTAGTTTTTAATATCTACTTTGACTAAACTCTTGAATGAAAATGGTCATTCTTACAGACAATCAAAGCTATGACTTCCTGGCACGCTCTAAAACAATCGGCTTTCACCATGAAGTCTTTGAGGAACACCGAAACTCGGSCTGCACTTGTGATCCGTGAACCTTCTTACTGCGGTTCTTTAAAAAGCTCATGGTGTCATGTTGCTCCATTGTCCTGTTGAAAAGCAGTGAGTGTTCCAAACTCAGTCATCAGATGCTCAGAGGTGGACACAGAGGTGTGTCTCTGCAGAGGAACTGTGCCTCGTGTCACGTCTGCATGTGTGCACCATCACACACACACACTATTTAAAGGTTATCATCATGGCAATTATCCATCCCACGGGTTAACTAAACATTGTTTTGGCATCAAGTCAGGAACTGAAAGGACAACGGGAAGTTAGTAGGACAGAGGAATGTCCATGATAAGRCTGATATCTTAGAGTTTTATGGCTCCTTCACGTCCGTGCTCAGAAGACAGGAACACTTAGCTGCACAAGTTTAAAAAAAATCACCATGGTTTTCTACTTAGTGTGATAAAATCTTTTGTCATGTGGAAAAGTGATTAAGATGTTTTATTTAGTACATCCTAAAGACAAAGGAAAACAAACAAAAAAAGAAAACAGCTCTGAGCGTCTTTGTGTTAAATCTTGGTTGTGACTCAGAGGATGGATCTCTACCACTCATATTCACCTGCAGTAATGATGCTGCTGGAGCGTAAACCAGCTGCTGCAGCTTCCTTTTGAGTTACAGCTACTGAAACTCTGTGCTAAACAGTAATGCAGAAWATCGATCCTCGATGAATTACTGGAAAGACTTTGAGTTTTTAATCCTGTACAGTAATAATGTCATTAAAAGATTTCAAGGAGCAGGAGAAAACTCTGCTCAAAGGACAAATCTGACACTCAATATGGATGCCTGTGAGATTCAGGTTAAAAAAACTGGCCTACTTCTGTAATGAACAGCATTTCATGGTCTCAGGAGCACTTCAACAAATCTGTAAACAGTTCACTCTGCCATCAAATACTCTAACAAATTATAGATACATTAAAGCTCTATCATGCAAACAAGAAGTGTCAGACAAGCCAATATTTTTTTCAATACAGTGTTTCAGTTTCACATTACACAGTTMTTSCRTCAGAATTATTATGAAGACCCTTCAGAAATGAAGTGCTGCATATAGTTGTTCTGCTTTTGAAAATCACCAAATATGTCTAAATACATAACCATATACTGTGAAACTAAATGAAATATGAAACAGTGTTTGCACAGACCTCTGGCATTTCTGACATTTGGTCTTTACCTTATGCAAACTAGTTGTTAGCTTAGGTCGTTTATAAGAGTTATCTACAGCAGGTAACATATTAATTGTTCAGAACCTTTTTTTTATTACAGAAACCTGTCACTTTTAAATAAACCAAAACACCCCTTGAATGTGATGGGAAACAGGATTTGGTGATGTGTCTTTCAGAGTTTACGTGCAGTTTGTGTGTTTGATCACATCCTGATGCCGGGTCAAACCGCCCTCTTCTCTGATAAAACCTTCCAGCTCTGAAAGGCTACCCCCCACCATCACCACACACATAGACACACACATAATCCCACCTCCTCCATGTGTGAAAGTGTTTCTGATAAGCACTGTGACTGGTGTGAGAGATTTATTCATTTTCTTTTTTTTTACCTGCCACTCTGAATTGTCTCAGTTCCTGAGGTTTTTCTCTTGACATTAATAAAATACAATAGAATAAAATCAACAAGGTCTCCTCTTCTGTTTTTTTCATTCCTGCTGCAAACCTTAAGGGCCGTCCCTAACTTTAACTCACTTCCCACACCTAYTTTGGTCTCAAAGAAGTGCTTTATAGATGCTGTCCTCAAGATTTCTTTGGTCCAGATTCGGCCACAAAGAACCCTTTCTCCTCGTCCACGTCTCCTGTGGAACAAAATGAGTCGGACAAACAAAAAGAAATTCAACCCGCTCTCAGCTAAGAAGCTTGCATGACCTGTAATGAGGATTTATATCAAAAGACACATCATTCATGTTGAACACTTAACACAAAACAAATCTGTAGAGATTTGTAGAGAAAAGAAATATTATTTTCTCCAATTCTAGGAAAAGCTGGAAATTTACAAGAAAGTGCAACAAATCCCCTGAAAATCCCGTGTGAGTGGTCATGTCCGATGGATCATGTGACTGAAGAGAGTCTGAAAGACTGTACTGTGTGTTTGGGACACAAACGTCACTTTGTTCAAGTGATAACTGTTGACATGCTAATGGACGCTTTCACACACCTAATCTATCTGGGCCACTGTGGACAACTGGACGCGAATCAAAGATGACCTTTAATGGTGTGAAAGATACATAAATATTGACTTGATTAGCAGCACATCCTATATGCAGTAAAATGAATTTGAAAAAAAAAGTTTAACAACTTACAGTAGTGACATCATTCAAAAGTTTGAYAGAGATCATCTGTGTTTGACTGAATGGTCAGCATTTACAATTATAGTTTAATTTTATAAATTTTGAAAATGTGACTGTAAAATGTGCACTCTGCACTCTGATACCTGAACTGTTCAACCTTTTAAAACTCTTTTGCAAAATCAATCAATCAATCAATCTTTATTTGTATAGTTTCGTCCAACAGCCAAAAGATGCACAATACAAAAATGCCATAAAGCCACCAGGCTCTAAAAGCCTGCTTTAATAAAAAAAAGTTTTAAGATTAGATTTGAAAAGTTCAGTGAGGGAGCTCAAGTCCTGAGGAAGTTGGTTCCACAGTCTGGGTGTAGAGACCTGTCACCCCAGCATTTGTGYTTACATTTGGTGATGAACAGTAAAAATTTTAAARTCCTCTTACACTCAGGAAAAGTTGYTAGATCATTTAAGTGGGGTGTAACGAGACCATTACGAGCTTTAAAAATTAATAATAAAAGTTTAAAGTCGATTCTAAAACGGACTGGAAGCCAATGAGGAGAAAATAAAATGGGGGTGATGGGTTCACATCTGGGAGCGTTGCAGCATTTTGAACCAGTTGAAGATGTCTGACAGAGGACTGGGATTACAGTGATACAGTCAAGCCTTGAGTTTTTACATAGTTTTTACATCAATACATTTTTTTTATCTTCTTCTCAAATCCCACCTCCCAAATACAGTGTGCACATCCAAACTCTCCATGACTTCCATTTTATCAGAGCTCAGTATTTCCTCTTCAAAACAGGAAGTAGGTTTTTTTTTACTTATATCTTCTGCATAAAAGCTGACCTGGACTGACCAGAGTCTTCTGCCCCTTACTGTTCTGAAATGTATTCACATTTATTTGCAGTTTTTGTACAGTGACTGTTTGTTTGAGGCTTACTTTTTACTCTGTTTTTGTCTGTCTGTCCTGTAAGACTGAAAGACACTGGTGCATTGTTACCCAGGTCATCTTCTGCAACAGCTGTTAAGAATTTTTTTCAGATTTTTTACTCTTTTTTTTTACAGTTTAAACATAAAAAGTTGACATTTTGGGATCTTAGATCATTAGAAAAGTAAGTCCCAAATTATTATTGGGATTTTCAGAAGAAAATAAAAGTTTGTTGGCATTTTGGGTGTTAGTTTCACAGATACTCAACAGAAATTTCCCAGTTCATTTTTCTCTCTGATGCTGATTTCTGTTCTTGACAAATAAAACAGAGACAACAAGTAAAGAGCAGTAAACAGCAACAGTTTTATTAGTAAAATCAGACAATGAATTAAAGTAAAGAATTCAGCTGATATTTTTGTAAATCATGATGGTGTCTTTGATTTGATACAGATGAGCGCTCTAATCCTGCTTATAAAACAAGTGTGTTGAACCTAAGGTGACTCTTTAGTATAAGATAACTATCATCAGCAGTTTGATTACTTATAAAGAGAGGTGTTTTTGAGGGGAAAAAAAGCCCTTGCAAATCAAAGATTATCTGGTTCTGGAAAAATCCAAGCAGGACTCTTGACCTCGGTGTTTATCCGGCATAGCCCAACTCTTTGTAATTGGCGTCCATGTCAGCAATAACCACAGCCATGACGCTCCTCAGGGCCTGCTGGCCGGCGCCATCCAGCCCTGCCTTCTCTGCCATCACTTTAACGATCACCTCGGAAATCAGCTGAAAGAAAAAAAAACAACAAAAATCCTCAATCTCTGCTTTTCACTGATCAGGTGGAGGCAAAGGCTCGACCCTCACCCTGAAGTTGTTGATCGGGATCTTGTGCTTGGTGGCGTGGCTGTTGGACAGAGGTTTGAGGATGGCAGCATGGTTGCCCTTGGCCTTCAGCAGCTCGCCCAGCTTCTTCAGCACGGTGGCTCCATGGGCAGAGACGGCTGCGTTGCCYGCCAGGTCGCCGTGAGGGATGCTGACAAACTTGGGGAACAGTTTCTGGGTTTCTGGGTGCTCGGTAAACAGGCTGCAGGGAAAGAAATGTGAAATTATTGTAACATTATTACTATTCACTGTGGCAGTTTCRGTGTTGTAAAGGTGATGGGGCAGATGGTGCAATARCGAGGAGGTTTTGAAACTGCAGGAYTTTTATTGACTTTGTTGAAAATCTGTGAATCTGATAATGTGTTCACGTTGGTGTTTAAACACCATTTAATATAATGAGTTGTTAAATTAGGTGTCAAACATCCAGAAAAATTTTCCACCATCCAACTTATCAGATGAAGCTCTTTTTAATTAAACTAGAGTTCATTTTTGTGTCAACAATCGGACCTACTGTACAAGGACAAGGACATTCTCATCTGTCCAGAGTCACTGACCGGGTCAGAACCAAGTTTCCATAAGTGGAGTAATCCGCTTCCACTGGACCCCAGTGTTTCAGGATCATATCGTAGTCTGCCATGATCTGAGRGGACAGAATGCAACAATAATAACAAAAATATTTCAGAAGACTTATTAAATGACTAAAATCCTGATAATGCCCTTTTAAAGAAAACCTTGAGAGGATTTTGAGGCTYGTGTTATCTAACTGTGGTATTTCATGTCTCCTGTTTGATTCCATGGCTTCAGGCCAAGAACCACTTCATTCAAGGGCATCTCATTACCAGTCAGAAACATGACCTGGTTTGCTCTCAGTGAGTCTGTAAYGTAACCTCAGCAAAGCTCTGTATAATTTATGTCCAAAATCGGAAGCACAAAGGCCCTTTTTGTTCACCTAAACCTGCTAAATGGCTGCAAAGACATGTAAATAGAGAATATTTCTTTTTTTATTTAAATAAGTTGTAAATTTAAAATGCACTAAGACTTTGAATGAACTTTAAAATGTGCAATCAGTTCAAATTAAATCAATTTTTGTAATTCACTTTAAAAGTTGTAAAAGTAAACTTTTTGATATTTCTTTATATTTAAGCTTTTAAGTTTTATTATTTGCTCGTGTGGACTAAATTTGCACATTTTGTCAAACATCCCGATGTGAAACAGCTCAGAAAGGTACCACCTACCTGCAAAGCTTGGAAAAGTATCCTGCGTGGTTGTCCCAAAATATTTTCAGCTTGATTCGTCCCCCCCTCATCAGTGCTGTCCTTTTTATACCCCATCCCTCCCTTTGTCCTGCCATCAGTCCACCTCTCTCATTGCATGACTGTAAAAATCTTCCCAGCATCTTAAATCGTTCATACCACCTAMAAAAAAAAAAAAAAAAAAAATCATCTTTGAGATGAATATGTGAGCAGCTTTTTATTCTCTGTTGCCCTGCCTGATTAATATTCTTCATATTAATATTATTTAATAACAGACATGAAAAAAGAAATGCACCAAAATTTCTGCCTATAGGGGTTGTTATAATTTACAATCCAGAAATAATAATTTAAAAACATGTTATTACTTACATATTTTTAACCATATGTAAATAAAAAATTTTATGGAAATGTTTTATGATGGATCTTGTAAAAGTATAAAAACCATTGATATAACTATGTCATTAGAGCCAGTTTGAAGTGGTTTAACAGTAATAGTCATAATAAAGCTTCTGCAGTTGAATTCCAAACAGCAGGGTTTTTTTTATCGACTTTTGGAAGTCCAACAGTAAGTTGTGTTTTTCTACTCCTCCCATCCTGTAAAACCAGCAGTCAGATGGAAGTCAGTCACCAGCAGCTTCTATGTTTTGTATAAACCAGCTGCAGTATTTTCTCTAAAGATCTAAATGTTCATGGTTCATCAGCCACGGGTATAAAATGGGTCAGAATGATGTAAAACCACCCACACTGTGCACCCTCCTCTGCACGTTGAGTTTTGGATTACTTGTTTAAGGAGAGTTTTATGTTGATTCCAGCCTAAATTTGTTATAAAAGCTTATTTGGGGGTAAAAGGTGAGCCAATTTGTGTACTTTTGTCATCTGTGAAATTTTTAATAGTTTGGTTCGGTTGACTAAAAGCATTGGTGGGATGTGGCAAGTACATGAGTGCATTTTTCATGTATCTGTACTTTACTTAAGTAGATTTAATTATGGGTACTTTCAACTTTTACTCCTCTACGTTTAACTTAAGTATCTGTACTATCAGCTCCACTACAATTTTTGTAATACGTTGCATTGCAAGTTACAATCGCCTCACGTCACGTTACATTTTTTATTTGTTCTTTTAGTTTGAAAGTAATTAATAGCGAGAGGAATACCGCTGTAATTGGTACACTGAATCCCTGCAAAGCAGAAAAATACCTAAACTAAACAACTATTAGACCCTCCTTTAAGAAGAGCGGCTATATGTCAGTGTATGTATGTCAGTTATACACAGATTGGCCTGATTTTTSGTGCAGTAGTTGCTGCAAAGAAAACCCAAACATAATCTGAGCATTAATGGATCACACAGGATCTTTGTTTTATACAAAGATGCACACTTTGTTTGATAAACAGAGCAGTTTATGCACCTATTTTTCTGCTCTTTCAAAACTTTTGATCATTAGAGTGAAAAATTAGGACTATTAGACAGTTTAAAAAATCTAATATTGTATTTTGTAAACATTAGATACCAAAAACGTTTTGAAACCTTTGAGTATAGTATGTTATTAATATTATAATTTAATTATTATTATTTTTCTGTCATGATAAAAACTAGTAAGTGTGCCACCTGCTGGTTGAAATTTGACATCACACTTGTTAATAATAGAGGGCCCAACACAGCTTGTCTACAGAGTTTCAGCTCTGTCTTAGGGACTTTTCTTCTGAGCTGTTGGCTTTCCCACCCCACCACYGTCTGTGATCTCAAAACAGCCGCAAGTGAATGTTCTCTGCCTGCTTGGGGAAATACACAGCTATACTGAACTCTGTGGTTCCCGAACCAGACACCCTCCTCTCCACRACTGTGTATTGAGTTCCTGCCCATAAACACACAGGATCAGARAYGAGGGACAACTACAKTCCAACCAACCCACACTGAGAACAGCTTCGACTTTCACCTGAAAAAATGGAAAAATAAAGATAAAAAAGAAAATCCACAAACATGATGTCATTTCAAGATGTTTTAGTTTCTTCTGATGTGAATTGTATTTTCTAGAACTCCTCTAGACCAGTGGTTCCCAAACTTTTCAACCTTTGACCCACAAAATACCAGCAGCAGAGACCTGAGCCCCAAGATGCTGTCGGTTGATAAACATTGTTTTCCCGTCAAATAAACAAGAGCATGTATCATTATTTATTACACAATTTTTGTCCATTTAAGTACACTAATCGTATTCTTTTGTAACAACAAAGGCAAAAAAATGTTGTTTGTTGTCATTTTTTTGTGTAATTATTTCAGAAAATATTTTCAAGACTCCACCTCGCTGCTTCAGGACCCCACTGTGGGTCCCAATCCCAACTTTGGGAACCACTGCTCTAGACCAGTGGTTCCCAAACTTTTTATCTTCTGACCCACAACACATTCATGGCAAAAACTTGTGACCCCAAATATTACTGGTCTGAGTACACAAACTTTGTTAATGACCCTAAAAACAAAGGCTACACAAATATAAATACTTTTTTATATTTATTTTGTGTTTTTGTAATAATTATAGGGAAAATATTACATCACCAATTATTTTATTACACTTTAAATTGATTTCTGAAGTGCAGTGGTTCCCAAACCTTTCAGCTTTTGACCCACAAAATAACAGCAGCAGAGACCTGTGCCCACAACTATTTTTGGATGATAAACATTTGTATCAGGTCAACTAAACATGGGTATAGTAACAATATTTATTATTCTACATGTATAAATTTTAGACAACTAAGGTAAAGATGTAATTAATTTAGAAAATCTTTTCAGGACCCCACCTTTATGTTTCAGGACCCACTTTGGGTCCCGACCCCAACTTTGGGAACCACTGCTCTAGACAGATCTGTGGGTTACTTTTTATGTCCAATTCTTTTACTGGTTAGATTGACCAATCAGGACAACTTGTTGCTGTCTCTGGCTTGTAGGTTCTTTTACCATGATACAGTATTAACAGAAACATCTCTTTCAACCTGTGCACCAGTTGCAAAGGAAGTGTTTGCAATAAATACTTCAGCTGACACCAAGGTGGAGATGTTTGGCTTTTTTGCAAATACACTCAGCATTAGTCTGATGTTTCTTCTGACAGGAGACTTTTGCTGTGTCACAGACCAATTGCAAAGTATTTATTAATTTATAATACTAAAACGTTTTTAAGCTTGAAAAAAATCTAATCATCAATAACTTGTGCCTCGTGAAGGACTTGTGACCTGTCCAGGGTGTACCCTGCCCTTCCTAATGTGACTGCTGGTTATGGGCACCAGTGACCCTGAAAAGAAGCAGGTATAATAAATAAGGAATGGATGGATGGCATCACCCATGTATAATATTACCCCTTTTTTTACTGTGTAAAAATGTCTGTCACTTTGCTAATCCTGCACCTGGATTTCTCCACTGAGGGACAATACAGAAGATTTCTAATCTAATTCGTTTATAATTGTATTAAAGATATGGCTTGGATAAAACAACTTATTTGAGCATGAAATTTTTTAATGTATGACCGAGCTCTGTATCTCTGCTATTTGTAACAAAGAAAACTATGAAAATCAAGTAGAAATTGTTGGAGTTGTGACTATTTTAGTTGGGCAAACAACTTCCTCATTATAAATAAATGCACTGGGGAAACAAGAGGGACCCACCCAAGATGGCAGCTTGTCCATGGGAATTCTATGTATGAGATGACTGTGCATGTTCCTGGAGATGTGGACTAGGGCTGAAACATGGAAGGGGCGGAGTTAATTAGCATATCTTCTAAAGAATTAACTCTGAGATTTAAAATTTAGGATATATATTTA